TTTTTCCTTACATCCTTCTTATCTTAGTCCTTATTGACCTTATTCTGTGTTGCTGTTGATCTTAGTTTAATTTCGTAGGACCTCGAGAAAGAATTAAGCCTGGGAGGGTAATTATGTAAGCTCGTCAAATAAAATGTTTGGTGTATTGTTGTTAAAGCCATCTCAGGTCACTGAGAATCCGTTTACACGTCGCAACACCGTTTATCTTCTTACTTGTTTCATCTTTTGCTGGGAAGCATTTTATTTTAATAGTGTCATTCATCAGTTTTTGCGTGTGGAATACGGTAACGATGAAAGACAGAGAATATAATTGTCATTACTTTCCATTTAATGTCATTGTAAGCGTGGCTGCCTCGTTACAGATGTATCAGTAGCACCCAACAAATCGAGTTGTGGATAGGAATTCAACCGTCAGAAAAAGGATTGATTTTCACAACTCATCGTTAAAGTGAGGGTAAAGTTTACTCAGTTGGTTGACGCCCTCATTAGCTCCCGTAGAAACCAACAAGACAAGAGCATACATACATCACATTGATTAAAAAACAACAAAGGTCGATTAATCAATTCCTGAAATGCCATAGCAGAATCAAAGCAGATCATATGGCATTTCTCTATTTCTGTTGATCTCATCAACAGGTCGGAGAAACGTAAGTACCATGGCTCTTCCCAAAACTCCCACTGGGGCGGCTTTACAAAGGGTAATATAAAAGGTAACAAAGGTTGATTGATCAATTCTTGAAGGGCCTCGAAATGCATCAGTGGAATCAAAGCAGATCATATGGCGTTTGTTAGCTCCTGTGATTTCATCCGCGGGTCTAAGAAACGAAAGCATTATGGCTCTTAGCAAACCTCCCACTGATGCTGAGCTCAAAACTCTCGAAGCATATATCATCGATTATTTAACGCGATAGATACAAAAAACATTTTACCATTCTTGTCACGGGAACAAGTGGTGTGGGAAAGTCAAGTCTTATCAATGCTTTAGTAGGCAAACTAGTGGCAAAAGAAGGTCGAGGCATGACTGTTTGCACCACTGAGACTACGAAATATTCTTGTGAAGTCATCGAGGGCATTGAGCTTCGTGCTTGGGATACTCCAGGATTTGAAAATGACGACTCAAAAGACAAATCATGCCTGCAAGACATGATAACGAAACTGAAAGATGATGTAGATCTTGTTGTCTTTTGTTTAAGGACGGACGATTCACGATTCTGCAGAGGCGACAAAGAGGCCATGAAAAAGCTAACGGAAGCTTTCGGAGATGAACTGTGGGAGCACACTGTCATAGCTCTCACCTTCGCTAATAAAGTCCATCATCCACATGAGGGAGACGAAAACGCTTATTTCATGGAAGAACTTAAATTTTGGCGAGAAGCAATCCATTCATTTCTCAAAGACGAGCTGAAGTTTGGCCCCGAAATCCTCCAATCCCTGCGTATACTGCCCACTGGATATTGCGCCAGCAAGGATCGTAAACTTTCCAACTGTGTAGACTGGCTAACTAATTTCTGGATGGCCTGTTACACCGCTCCAAAAAGCAAAGGGGCCATCAACTTGTTGAAGATGAACAATTCCCGATTAAAATCGGTAAGGTGGGAACATTCTCAAACCACTGCTGGGAGCCACGAAGACGGAAATCAGACTTCCTTTAGTGAACACGGCTCAGCTTCCTTCGGGGCTAAAGTGATGCGGTGTTTGCTTGGATGATAAGAATAAACTTATATGAATTACGGTCTTTTTAGTCCAAAAGTCTTTTCGTCCAGAAGTATTTTCACCTTAGTCTGTTTGTTTACTTGTTAAGTCTTTTCTCGAAGCAAATAAATAACTTTTAGAAGGCTAGATAAGGCTATATAAAGAACTTGTTGCGAGCGGCCGCCATTTTGGTTCTGAGAGCTTTAGTCACGTCGGACACGTAGTGATGATACACTTCATTGCCTTTTACGCTCAATAGAAGCTTAACAAGAGGCCTAATATTCCCATTTCTTTCGAGTGAAATAATTAAACGGCTAGCAAGTCTTTATTTTTGCCACTATATAATAAAATATATTGCGTTACAACTTCATTCATTCTCTTTGTATTTATCGTTAAATTGATGAAGTTGAATTAAATTCGTTATTTAATAGTTATTTATTTGTTTCGTGGAAAGACTTCACAATTAGACGTACAGACTTAGATGAGAATACTTTTGGACGTAAAGACTTGGACGAAAAGACTTTCGCACGAAAAGACTCTTGGACGAACTCTTGGACGAAAAGACCGGACACCACTTATATCATAACAGGAGTTATTTGACAATCGTCACCCACTCTTTCACAGTTGCATATGACTATTCTAAGGGCTGCAAGTGAAGGGGATTTCTTCTTAAATATGTTCTTAATTTTTTAAAAATTTTAAGTAGAAACACACTGGGCTAATAAATGTCAGTACTGCTAAAGGAAAACTAGGTCAGTCAGATTAAATAAATTAATAATCAGTGTACAGAATTTAGCAGTGAAGTAAGAGTGATATTGTGAAAGCAATTGATGGAGCATCATCGAACTGTCGGGTTATATAGGATGATGTTGTTACTCACTTTTATTAAGATTTTTTCTTCTTCATCATCTTCTGTGGAGGATAAGGAAAAGAAATGCAAAATTCAGTAATAAAATTACATTTTTTCGATTTAATAGGTGAGAACAGTGTAAAGTGTCAGAGCATTGATGGCAAAATAAAGTACAATTTAAACTTGTTAGTATTTACCAGAAACTAGACGCCTAGCTGCGTGAACTCGGGCTTTCAACATCGCACATCTGAAGTTGTCTTTAGGGGACTGCCATTTTGCCATAGTTACTGTCGTCACGTAATTTCGTCACTGCTAGTCATTAATAAGTCTACTTAACTTTATTTTTGTCTGCTGGAGTGTAATGAATGTCGTTATGGTACTAGACAACAATTAAAATAATATATTACCAAATAGTAGTAGGTTTCTACAGATGACAAAGGTTAAAATTCAGGGACTTCTCTACTTTGAAGGCCAAGTTTTAGAAAATTGAAGGATCACTTTTGGAAAGGTTTGCATAAGCAATTTTTAAATTATTTTATATTATTTCTCAGCTTTTCCATGAAAGTACTGTAATTTTCAACTTGAAAATTGCTAAAGAAAAAGCATTACAAAACTCAAGCTCCAGTCCTCAAATTCAAGTACTTTCAATGCCTTGAATATTTTATTTTGTAAATTCAGAGCTCTGACAAAGGGTAACGCTCAAAATGTCAGCTTTTTAACTCTTTACGGTGGCCAATTTACAATTTCAACTTAGTTGATATTACCAAATTACCTTGTTGCCCCCACCGACGCAGCTAGCATCACAGTTTCATTAGAAACTTACCCTCTTTAACAATACATGTGTATTACGACCTTATTTGGTAGACTACGACTCCTTTTCAGTTACCTTTTTGGTTTGGTTAGCTCATCGCAATACTGGTATACATAAAAAATTACACTCTTGATTGGCTGAAAACAGCTAGGTGTTTTTTTCATGTATCACTAGTGCAAAAGTAATTACTCAAGTACAAATCTAAACCAACTGGTAGGCTTAGCAAAAATAGATCACACCAGAAACCAATCAGATTTACATGAAGTAGGTTGTGCTGATTGATACACAAGTCATGGTAGCTGACTGAAATAAACAAAAGCTTGAATTTTTTAGGTATGTTGATAGGAACTGACAAAATTGCATTCCTGAGTACGGTTTCAGCTGAAGCACAAATTTTGATAGCATGTCAGTTGACCATTTACATGATGATGTCAAGTTCACCTTTTCATTTCATGTCTCCATATAGCTTGAATTTGGGAAACACACCATTATCATGGTGTCACCTATCTCATTGAACTTTCTGTTAATTAAAACCTCCAGGTCAAATTGTGAGTCTCATTGGCTTTCGAATTATTAGCAGTTTTAGTGTAATGTTACTTTAGAGTACTACGTAACATGTGATTCATGAAAGCTATTGCTTGTGTTCTGATCTTGTTATGCACCTATCTTCTTTCCTCAGATTCTTCCATTTGCAACCCCATATCCACCCAACTCAACTAAATTTTTCTGTGTTCTTTAATGAAAATACAGTCCCACAAAACCCAAATACAATAACAAGAGTAAATATTTGAAAATATTTAACTGAAAATAGAATTTTCAACTGAAAATAGAATTTTCAACTGAAAATAGAATTTTGTGCCCTAATGGATAATAGCAACCTACACACAGCATTGTGTTACTTTTAATGTATGTTTTGTCCAAAATTAGTCATACATTCAAACCAAATCAAGCTCCCACTGGCTTCTAGTGTAGATTTCATCATTTTCTGAATGTTTCAGCCCTTCTGGCAAGTTCTGTTCTCGTGTACTGGTACACAAAATGCCATAAATATTCATATGAAATGCTTCCCTTGAGTTAATTTCACATCACTAACAATGCCTTGGAAAAGACAATCAACCTACGTAAACAAAATCGGGACTGAATCTATTAGGCAAGTATGGGAGATGATGCTGACCCTTTTTTTAGTTCCTAAAATCTTCAGGTTACATGTGCAACTTTTGTTGACAACATGAGGCCCCCACAACAAAGTTTGGCCATTAACCCTCGTCTTGAAAATGAAGATTTCAGGACTATCGTATGTCAGTAATCTTATTTTATTGATGAACAGGAACAATATTGAAACTATCTAACCGTAATCAGATATCAGCTCGTCTAAAAGAAACTCAATAAGACATCAGACAGGAGAAAGCAGCTAAATTTTGCATTGCGGACATATTTTTTAATTATGGACTAGGGATTACAATCATACCCTACTTGTTTTCTTTAAAGCCATTTAGTAAACATGCGTAAAACCTACACTAATTAATGTGAGGATCACTCTCACATTCATTTATTAATCTAAGGTTCACATAATTATATCATATTCATGTATTTGCAGTCATTGCTTAACAAAATAGTCAAAATGTTACATTTAATAAAATAGCTTAGTTATTCTTTCATTTCCAAAGCTGGCAGGCATGAATTTCCTACATAGATACATATTTTATTTAACAATGCAGGTTAAAAATATGGCAGCGAAAGCTAATGTGGATCAGCTATGCATAAATAAATATTAACAAAATATATTAACTAGATAATTTAAATTCACATTAATTTAAACAAAGAAAGTTACAAATTTAACAAATAAAAGTATAAAATAGCATCTAAAATATATAAAATCATCACAGTTCTTAAATTTAATGGTTATAAGAACTACAACCAAAATATATTTCATCAATAGATTTAGAATGCCTTACAAGATTTGCTTTAAACGATGCAAAGGAAGGAAGAGACTTGATCTTTACAGGTAGACTGTTCCAAATTATACTGGCTCGATGAGTGAAGGAATC